ATTGTATGAACCACCTTTGTACATAAATTGCAATCATCATTTCCAAAACATATCTAATTGAGTCATTGGTATCAGCTCTTCTTCCCCCCCCCCCCTAACCCACTCTTCCACCCTCATGAGTCCTAAATCAGTTATATATTGTTATTATTATTCCATATCTTACACTGTCCATTGTTTCCCTTCACCCATATTTCTGTTATTCATCCCCTTGGCGTGGGTGGGGGGGTGTATATCCAACCTTGGGATGGGTTTCCCTTTTATCCCCCTTCCTCCTCCACAACCATCCCCCTACCCTCATGATATTGCTACTCCCACTACTGTTCCTGAGGGGGTTTATCTGTCCTGAATTCCATGTGTCCAGATCTCTTATCTGTACTAATGTGTGCTCTCTGGTGTAGCCAGATTTGTAAGGTAGAGCTGGGTCATGGTAGTGCAGGGGAGGAAGGAATGATGTGTGCTTCGTCAGTGCTATCTATACTGCACCTTGGTTGAATCACCCCCTTCCTTATAACCTTTCTGTGGGGGGATATCCAATTGTCTACACATGGCCTTGGAGTCTCCACTCCAAACACCCTCTTTGGCAACAATATAATTGTTTGTTTTGGATCTTTTGATACCTGATCCCATGGACACCTCATAATCATTTGCTTCATCTGGGCTTATTTGCTTCCCTGCTGGATGGCTGCTTGTGCAACTTCAAATCTTTAAGACCCCAAACACTATATCTTTTAATAGCTGGGCACAATCAGCTTTCTTAATCACATTTGCTTATGCACCTATTTTGTCATCAGTGATTGTGTCAGGAAAAACTGTTCTTGTGTTAAGGGAGGCCTTGAATAGAGATCCGAAGTCTGTCTGTTAACTTAATACTTAACATATAAATATATGTACATTGGTCTCTATCTCTTTCATTATAAATTAGTATATTTACATATATACATGACTATAGCTATACCTCTATAAATAGCTTTTGCTTCCTATTTCTTTCCTCTAGTTCCTTTCACCTTCCTCCTATCCCACTATCATGATCTCCCTCCATTCGGCTCTGGGACACATTACACTTGATTAAATCATACCTCCTCGCTGTCAATTTTAGATCTCTTGTTGTTCCCTTATCCCTGAGTTTGTTAGCTACCCTCGCCCTCTTCCCGCTCCCTCCTCTCCCATGTCCCTACAGAAATGCCAGTCCCATTGTTTTCTTCTCAGAATTGTCCGACTGCCTATCTTATATAGATAGACATAGGGCAAAAGAAAAAGAAAAACAAACTAACTAACTAAAACAAAACAAGAAAAAAAGCCCAATAGATAGTTCCAGGTCTGAATACTTATCTTACTTACAGACACAAAAACGAGGCTCTAGGAATTGATGGAATACCCACTGAAATGTTTCAGAAAGGTGAAGAAGCACTGGAAACACTCATTGATGCCAGGAAATTTGGAAGACAGCTATTGGCCAACTGACTAAAACAGTTCCATATTGGTGCCCATTCCAAAGAAAGATGACCCAACAGAATGCACAATTTAGAGAACAATATCATTATATTACACACAAGCAAAATTTTGCGTAAGATCATCTGAAAACAGTTACAGCATTACATAGAGAAAAAACTACCAGAAGTTCAGTCCAGAATCAGAAGAGGGCATGAAATACACTATATCAGTGCTGACGTCAGATGGATCATGGCTCAAGCAGACAATACCAGATAGATGTATACCTGTGTTTCATTGACTGTGCCAAAGAATTCAATTGTGTGGGCCATAATAAGCTGTGGAGAACTTTGAGAAGAATGGGAATTACAGAAGACTTTGTCTTACATATTTTGGACATATTTTAAGGAAAAACCAGTCCCTAGAAAAGGGCACTGTGCTTGGTAAAGGGGGGGGAGGGGCAGTGAAAAGAGAAGGCCCCCAACTGTGGCTGCTCAGATAGAGAAACAATTGCGAGGATGGCATAGGACAGTGCAGTGTTTTGTCTGTTGTGCACAGGGTGCCACGAGTAGGAGCCAACTCAGTGGCACCTAACAACATCAACAACATGGACACACAGTAGGAAAGACCAACTAATAGAAAGAAGCATCATGTTTGGTTACACAAGGTCAGTGAAAAAGCGGAAATTCAAGAAAAGGATTGATGCCAATGGCATAACAATGGACTCAAACATGTCAATAATCATCAATGGCACAGAGTCAGATTGGTTTTTTAAAATTTACACATAAGGTTATCATGAATCAGAGCCAATTTCATGACAACTAAAAACAGTAATAACAATCACAAAGGGTTGCTGCTAGTATCAAGTTATAAAATCCATGTAGTTCTTATTGTAGTAAGCATTCAATAAATGTTAATAAGTATTGAATGATTTGAGTTTATTATGATATAGAGACTATAAATTAGGAAAGTCCTTGGTATTAAGAGGGTAGAATAGTTCTGCAGCAGTCATATAATCTGTTGTCAATTTGAGACTTATGAGTGAATGGGTGGAATTTACCAGTCAATCAGGTCGCAGTGTGATAACCTCATTTAGAGGCGCTAAGGAGATAAATAGCTCAGTGGAGGCGGGACACTCTCTCCCTGGGAGACACTGCAGCTGACAAGACACATGGAGCTACACTAGTGCTCTGAGCTGGAGGAGCCACATGGAGACCCCTGCCAGCACTGAGATGCTTCCAATGCCACTGGATCCATAAGACTTCCCACTAACTGGCCTGTGATCTTTCTGCATTTGGCGTCATTGAATGTGTTTCATGAGTCTGAAGTGGACTTTATAGATTGGTATTGGACAGATGGGCTAATATTGGACTTATGGACTTGATTTGGACTGGGTTGAGATTTTTATTAATGTACAATTACTCTTGATATAAAGTTCTTTCCTATACACAAATGAGTCTCCCTGAATTTGTTTCTCTGGTCTACCCAGACTAACACAAGTTCTAAAATTATGCATGCCTAAAAAGAGTTGTTGTTAGCTGTCATTGAGCCAGTTTCAGCTTGTGGTGACCATATTTACAACATAATGAAACACTTCCTAGTCCTGAGCAATGATTACTGCTAGAGCCCATTGTTGCAGTCATTGTGTCAATCCTTCTTGGTAAAGATCTTCTTTTCAAATGACCTTATGCTTTATCTAGCATTAAGAGCTTCTCCAGGGACTGGTTCCTCTGGATAACTTGTTCAACATACATGAGACCGAATCTTGCCACCCTTGCGTTGATGGATTATAGTGGCTGTAGTTCTTCAAAGACAGATTTGTTTGTACTTCTGGAAATCTATGGTACATTCACTATTCTTTACCAACACTATAATACAAAGGCATCAATTCTTCCTCTGCCTCCTTATTCATTGTACAGATTTGCATGTATAGAAGGTGATTGAAAATAACATGGCTTGGATCAAGAGCACCTAAGTCCTCTTAATGACATTTTGCTTTTGAACATTTAAAAAGTTTTGCAGCAGATTTCCCCAATAAAATATGAACTACAATTCCCTCACTGCTTCTTCTATGGGCATTGCCTAAGGATCCAAGTAAAATTAAATGTTTGACAATGTCAACATCTTTTCCATTCATCAAAATGTTGCACATCAGTCTCATTGTGAGGATTTCTGTTCCTTTTTGTTTGGAGGTGAAGACTGAAGTCTTTGATATCCATCAGCAAGTGCTTCGAGCTTTCTTGGCTTTCAGTAAACATCGCTGTTGTCAGCATCATAAAGCAGATTGTTGATGATCTTTCCTCCAATCCTGATGCCACATTCTTCTCCATGTAGTCCACCTCCTTTGATTATTTGCTTCAAGAAATAATCCAGGTGAAATAAGCAGGGTAAAAGCGATCAACTCTGACGTAAACCTTCTCTTGGTTTGGAACGATGCAATGCCCCCTTGTTCTATGTGAATAACTACTTCGATAGATAAGCTCTGAATAAACACAAAGAAGTGTCCTGGAATTCCATGCTTCAAAACATTCCTCATAATCTATTATGATGCACAGATCACAAATAAGTAGATATACAGAAATGTCATTGCTTGCAATGGATTAACTGTAAGGGGAAGTGTTATCTTCAAAATGGACTCAGGTGAAAAACCCGTCTGTCTCTTAAAACATTGCAGTTGGCACTGACAATCTCCTAGAAGATTATCCCTATGGGAGGTAGTTAGTTTATTGTGCCAAGCTGGCCAATAAACACATGCGGGGTTAATTGAAGGGCAAAGGGATAAATGGCTTGGCGAGCCTCACCTTTGGAGTTCTTGGGTCTCTTGCTTTGTGGTGGTCATACCAGGGTACAGCTGATCCCTGCTTCAGCTTGCAAGGTTCACTTCCTGCAAGACATCCCCAAGGAGAAGCCACATGAACCAACCATGATGCAGCCCTGGGTGCTGGAGCACCCATGTGTGTGGAGACCCCTGCCAGTGCTCAGCTTTCCTCCTGCAGTCGGCATCATTGTGTCTGTTTTGGGAGATGGAGAAGGACTTTGTGGATTGGTATTGGACATCTGGGTTAATGGGTTAATGTTGGACTTGTGGGCTTGGGCAGCACTGGGTTGGGATATTTTCTTGATGCACACTTAACCTTTATATAAAACTCTCTCTTATACATGAGTTTCTGTGGATTTGTTTCTCTAAAGTACCCAGACTAACACACTAAGCTTTCCATATAGAATATATAATGAAAGAGAAGAATGAACAAAGAATGATATATCTAAGAGAAGCACTGCTGTTTTCAAAATCCTTATGTTACATACAGAAATTCTTTGGCTGTTTGGTTCAGTATTTTTATTGATATTAAACACACTGTCTTATCTACAGGGGAAAAAAAGCAAACAAATATATCTTTGCATCAAACAGCATAGGGGAGACCAACACTATCTGAGAACTGCTCAGAACCCTTTGCTTAAAACACAGAACATCCTCTCAATTGTATAGCTTGCAAGCATGCTTTTTTCACTGCATGGAAACAAGTCAAAGGCATCACATGCTGGCTCTGACAGCTGTTGTCTCTCATTTTCAGCCTCACATAATGAGTTTCAAGACTTCAAGGCTGCTGTCCAGAAGTGGTGGCGGGGCCTGAGTAATTGGTTTGGAAGACTGAAGAAATTGGAACAAGAGGAAGGAGCAAACATGGTCTCATTTTTATTCTCCAGCAATCAGTGTAGTATTTATTCACTCCTCGTGGAATTCTTCAAGTCAAACCACTGTTCTTCATGCTGCAAAAATGTAAGGGTATTGTAGTCTTGTAAAACGTATGCTCAACCTCATGACCTTTAGTGATGAGGGAGCATGCAGAGATGGCTTAACAAATGAACCTTGCTCCCCATCCTTTGAATGTGTGATCTAATTTCTCACTTTCTCATAACATGACATTGTAATTTTTGGCATTATCTTCATTTAAAGCTATCACATATTCATATAACAAGGAATAAATCAATATCTATACTTTGAAACTGTACTTTAATATGAATAATATGCATTATTAATTTGTATTTTATTGTTTTAACTAATTAATACTTAAATAATTTTAAATAATAATAAAGATTATCATGTAAACATTGTACAAAATTCCAATTTCAGTGTCCATCAATAAAGTTATATTCGGATATCTTGCTCATTCTTATATGCATTGGCTGCTTTGACACTACAACTAGAGGTTTGAGTAATGCTTTTGGGCCTTGCATAGAAAAGTGAATTTGACAGCCATTGAGTTAAATAAGTGATCCAATGTGAGCTTTACTCAATGGACTGAGTATCCTGGTGACATAACTGTTAAGCACTTGACTACTCAACAGAAAGCTGAGGAGTAAAATTAACTTGTGGAGAAAGATGGGGCTTTCTACTCCCATCAAGACTGACATTCTCAGAAACTCACAGGGGTGGTTCTCCACTGGCCTACTGGATTGGAAAGAGTCAACATTGACTCATTTGCAGTGAGTTCTTTTAAAAAGAAAAAAGCTGGTCTCTGTTAGAAGAGCCTGGATGATCTGCTCCTGCAGAGCAGCTGAGGAGGAAGCCTCCAGGGCAGTTTACTCTGCTCCACAGGGTCTCCGAGTCCGAATCTGCTCGGTCTCACACACACAGAAAATCCATATTACAAAGTCACACGTGGACTGCTTCCTAAGGATCAATAAATGAACAAAGTTATCAAAAATTCAGTAGCCCAATAAAGAAAGCAAAGGAAGACCTTGTCTTGGCAGACAGATAATAGATAAGTAATCAATACTTTATATATTTACTAATGGGATAAAGAAGATAAGCCAATGGAGGTCTCAGCCTCCATCACTAAATTTCCATTGCCAATTAGAGAAAACCAAGTGTTCTTCAAAAGCAATCATATTTACACTAATAACAACAGCTAATGTTTATTTAATGCTTTGAGTGTTCTGGACAAAAGTGTATAATTTTATTAATTCATCACTTTAATTCAGTGATATCACCATGATTATTCACATTTGTAGACGAGGACATTGAAGTTCTTGTAGTTTAAAGTACTTGTCTGGTTAATTATTAACACCCCACTACCACTATCAACACCACCAACACCACATACACACGATTACTCTTTAGTTAATTATAAAAATGTCACTCCATTGCTTAGGATTGTAGACATCTGTTTTTCTTGTTGAACCACAGGGAATTTGGGAGGTCCTGGTTATGACTGCAGCATGCCGTCAGCTAGACTAATTAAAATAGTACCTACGTGCTATGTCAACTAATATTATGTGCCTACCTATTACCGATTTTTCCTGTTCTTTGCTCACAAAAATTCTCATTTAAGTGATGTTTGTGCCTAGTTTTAGATCACAGATAGACAACGCCATTCTACTTAAGATCAGATTGGCTCTGGGACTTGGTTCTTGCCAATACAATTTTGGTGAAGTTCTATGGAAAGATATTGAAAAACATTTTAAAAAAATAAGTAACAAGAAAAAGTATGGCTGGTACTACTTCCTTGTTCGCCTTATTTATATCTTAAAAAGACATTTGATGTCTGGAATTATATCAATCATTAGTGAACACGAGCCAAGGCACACAGTGAAAACAAAGAGATTTGTAGAGATTATGGTCCTGATCCAATGACAGCAATTGCCACCTCCAGACGTGTTCTTTTAGGCTGTTACTACAGTCATTTCTGTCTGGTACATATGCAAAACAAGGCATTACAAATTGTATGTAATCCCTAATCATGCCTTCATATCAATATCTCAATATAAAATGTATCAAAGGTAAAATGTATCAAACTAATTGTGATAGCTCACAGTAATGAATACACACACAGTCACAGTGTACTCAACCCAGTTCAGGTTTTTTAAAAATCTACCAGTTATCTATCTGTTCTTTCTTTTTTCATGCAAAATAAAAATGGTTTGAGTACGGGCTACTATGGATCAGGCACTGTTTTAGGTCCCTGAAGCCAAGAAAGCTTCAGTACCCGAGCGAGGAAGAGCAGCATCAGTAGCTTTCTGTTGCCATCAGAAATCCTACATTTTCAGGTTTTATGCCCCACAAGGGGTAACAGAAAGTGACAGTAACTCGTCCAGTCTCTGAAATCATAAGAGCCCGAGGTGGAGATGCTGAAGTGCCATTTCCCAGCTGTAGAATCTAGGAAAGTCACTGCTTTTTCAGCCTGTTTCTTCCCTTATAACCTGGGAATAGTAACGTTCTACCTCATACGCCCATTGAGCAATTTAGTGAGGCAGTGCGGATGTGGTATCCAGCACAACCTGACGTGTAGTTCAATTAACGTAATTTGCCATTATTATTGCTAGCATCGTACCAGAATAGGAACATTTAAATATGGATACAGAGGACAGGGAAAGGTTTAGAGAAGTAGCACGAACAAAAGATGGATGTCCACAGAGAGTGGCATGTGAGCTGGAGTTGGAAAGACGAGTGGAGTTTACTGGATGACACAGAGAGAATAGAGCATTTTAGGTACAGAGAGGGCAGACAGGGCAAAGACCAGTGTGGGTCATGTGAACTGGCTGGAGATGAAATTGAAAAGCTGAAGCCCGATGGTGAAGGACCTTATCAATGCCACGCTAAATTTGGGGCTTCATCCTGCAAGTGAGAAGACAACTCTGAAGGATTGCAAGCAAGGAAGTGACATAATCAGGTCTAGTTTCGGATGGATAATTGGTCCCAGAATGTGAGATGGGGCAGAGTTGGTAGAAATTGTGAATAACGAGAACCATTAAAAAGCTAGTTCTATAAATCAGCAAACAAATAATGAGAAAGCCAAACTAGGCCAGTGGCACTGGAACTTGGACGGGAGGGTGGATTTTAAAGACATTTTGGAAGTAGCAGATTAAGATCTAAGAGACACGCAGCCTTTAGAAGGTGAAGACAATTGACGGCTCAAATTGACTCTAAGTTTTCAGAGTGGTGCCTCTGTGCGGCTATGAGATGCCGTTACCTGAGAAAGGAATGTTCAGGAGGTGATAAGGCTTATGTTGTTGTTAGGTACCAAGAGTTAGGTATCAAGAGTTGGTCCTGACAATAGGACCCTCTGTCCAACAGAATGAAACACTGCCTCCTCCTGTGTCATCCTCACAAGTGTTCTACGTTAGAGCCCACTGACGGTGCCATTGCGTCAATCCATCTTGTTAAAGGTCTTCCTTTCCTTCACTGCCCCTCTGCTTTACCAAGCACGATATCCTTCTCCATGCAAGGGTCTCTCCTGACAGCATGTTCAAAGTACTGAGACTAAGTATCACCATCTTTGTCTTTGAGGAGCATTCTGCTGTACTCCTACTAAGACAGATTTGTTTTTTTGTTGGCAGTTTCAACATCCTTTTGCCAGCACCATAATTCAAATGCATCAATTCTTCTGTGGTTTTCATGATTCAATATCCAATTTTCACATATATAAAAGCCAATTGAAAATGGCTTGGGTCAAGTGGACCTTCATCCTGAATTAACATCCTTGCTTCTCAACACTTTAAAGTGGGCTTTTGCAGTAGATTTACCCAATGCAGCACATGCTTTGATTCATTTACTGGTGCTTCCATGAGCTGAATAATGATTCCAACTATGTCCACACCCTAATCCACATAATTTGTAAATATTATATTAGTAAGCAAAAACTTGAATTACAAAGTATGGTTAGATTGGGAGGATAATTATTTCTGGTAAGTCTCCTCTAAAATTTTATTTCTTTCAATGTTGTTCAAATATCCCTTTCCTATGACATCAGTGGAAAACAGGAAGGACTGGCCACATTCTACTCTCAATACACCATCTGGTGTCTTAAGACTGCTGGAAATGTACCTTCATGTGAAACAGAGTTGACAGCACCAACAATTCTATAAGGGTTTTGCAAATTAGAAACATGGCTAAGACTTCTACCACCCCATCCAGTGCCTATTACAGGACATTGCATATGGTAATAATCAGTGTATTACTTTGACTTGAAATTAATTGCACTTCTTTAGCGTCATCTTCAAAGTCATCCATGCTCATTATGCACTCTCTGAAGATACAGTAGTAGAAGAAGATCACAGAAGGAACGGGCATGGAATTATTTGTATGTGTCCATATCCACAGCCATTGCCTGCTCCTTCTTTGAGGATCACAGGATCACACTTTTCTTCCTGTCTCTAATCACGATCAGTTTAGCCCGACGTTGGGGCTTTTCATTCTCTTCATGATTTCCCATGTCCCCCACCTGTCCAAGTATTGCCTTGGTTCTTTGAGTGTCGAGGGCCCTATCCCTGTGCACAATCCTGTTCTTTTGAATGCTACTCTCCTCATAGGCCTCTAGAAAGCCCCCCGTATTTCTGTAGGAGCCAGAACCTTGCCTGTTTCAAGTTCCCATCCACTACCCTTCCGGAAGCCCTTGGGGTCAAGACTCAATGAAGACACCTCAAGTGCCATATGGACTAGTGGTGTGGTCACAGGGACATACGTCTGGGAACAAACAAAAACTTACACAAGCTAAAATGGGTTGAAAATATTCAATAGCAAAAGAAACTTGATA